CAATAAATATTTGTAATAAGATTGTTCTTCATCCAATCGAGGTTGCTATTTAGCAAACAATCAAAAAAAAATGGAAATTCAGTGTGCATATTGTAAAAGGTAGAGCAAAAAGATTTTTGTTAAGAAGAGGTCTCTTAATCTCATTATCAGCAACTTTGAAACGGTAGCACCAAATTCATCGTGTCTGATTTCTAGGGTACGGGCTGCGATATAAAATTCTTGCTTACCAACGTTCAATAGTTACTGCCCAGAGTAGTTGTGTTAGAGTAATCCTGCATAACAGCGTTCTTTTTCTAGAATACCGCTCATAACTTTTGCAAAAAAAGGAGATTACAAATAAAAATCCATCGGAAGCGTCACATCGTCCTAATTTTTTTCAAACCAGATATTTTTCATTAAAAAAAGGCGGTATTAGACAAGCTCGTCCGGACGAATCCTAAGGTATGCCACACTTACAGTTACATCTAAGGTGTACGGCAGATACCGTAGGAAGTCAACATCGCGAGAGGAGTTATATAACAGCCTTGGGCAAAGTTTCAGACGGATTCGTAATTTGATTTACCGTATCTACCGTACACCCTAGATGTTACTGTAGTGTGGCATACCTTAAGTATCGTCGGGCGGCTGAGTGTAAAACTGCTTTCTTCAAAAATCCATTTTGAAAGAAGTTATGACGATGTGACGTTTGCAACGGATATTTATGTAGAATCACATTTTTTGCAGAAGTTCTGACCGTATTATGGTTATCATCTGTTTTTTTATGTTTTACATGAGATCCTTAAACTTTTTTAGAAGTACTATTGCAGTACTGAGGTTAAAGAGAATGTGTGCAACTGGAAAGGAGAAACTTCATGAAAAGAATTCAATTATTACGAGTTAGAATTAGCATAGAAGACTGATGTGTAGCTGCTGTAAAGCGAAAAACTGGAAGATCTTGCTTGAAAAAGTACTTTTAAATGTGATTTCTGTTTTCTTTCAACATATTACGAGGTCGTATTAACAAGAGCTCATTGTGTGAGCTCTTGTC